GCATCCATCTCTGTATCGCCTGCCGTAACGCTGAGAAGAGCGAAGCCACGCGAGACCTCATCCTGGCCACCCACCCCGCCGCTCAGGTCTCCACCGTGGAAGTGGATCTAGGGAACCTGGCGTCTGTGCTGCGTGTGGCCCGGGAGCTCCGCTGCAGGTATTGAACCACCCCTCTCCCACCTGCGCTCCACCCCACCAGACCCTCCTGTCTGCCTGCTGCTTCTCACCCCAGTGCTCTTCCCCACGCAGGTTTCAGCGCCTGGACTTTGTCTACCTCAATGCTGGGATCATGCCCAACCCACACGTGAACTTCAAGGCTCTCTGGCATGGTCTCCGCACCGGGTAGGAGATGCTGGGGGGGAGCTGGTCCCTGGCTTGGGGGCACTATGGGGTGCTGGCAGCATCATTGTGGCCAAGGTGTGCCCTTGGGTCCAGGGCTGAAGACCCTATCGCTGTCCCCTAGCGTGACACAGAGAGCATCCCTGTGGGATGCGTGGGCTTGCATAGGGTGGGCTTTGCAGCTGTGGGTCAAGTGCTGGGGTGCTCTGAGGCACCCCATGCTGCTTCTGATCCCTGGTGTGGGGCCCGCTGTGTGCCAGCGTGAGGCGAGGGTTCACCCAAAGCCTGGGGCTCCTGGCAGGAGGCATGGAGTGAAAAGTGCTGGGGTGGTGTTGGGAGGTGAAGTTTGCTCTTCCTGGGCCTCCTTACTGTTGTTTGGGTTCCACTGTAGGTTTTTGTAGTTGTTCTCAGCTGGGGCTCGCTGGTATTTTGTGCAGCTGTGAGTTGGTGTTTATTCTATAAGCACCATGGGAGTAAGCATCGCTGGTCTATAGGCAACATGGGGAAGCTGAGTTAGGGAGCAAAGTGACTTGTGCTGAGTCTACAGTTGTTGGGATGTTGAATGTAGATGCCAGTCTGCTTTCCTTATCTTCATGAGGCTTGACCCTAGGGCTTAGGTCCATGCTGGAGCCTGATTTTGTTGTCTGCATGTGAAATGGCAAAGCCATGTTTTTTTAAGGGTACTTTACTGTGGTGAGATGAGGGAAGGGGCAAGTCTTCTCTGGTTTAGTCAGTATTCAGGGACTTGCAAATAAAGGGGCTGGAATGCTCTGTGAACTTCTGGCAGCTGGTTTTTTTTCCATGGATTAATAGAGCCCTTTAGGGTGGAAACTAGAGGAGCCTGTGAGGCGAGGGATGCACTGAGGGACTGAAGCAGGGGAGCAGCAGCTGCGGTGTTGCTCTTTAACTCCTATCCTTGCCTTCCAGGAAGCTGATTCACATGCTGAGCACGGCGGAAGGTATAATGACCCAGACAGATAGGCTTAACGGAGATGGGCTGCAGGAGGTGTTTGCTACCAACCTCTTTGGACACTTTATCCTGGTGAGGCGCGTGTGGAGGTCGAGCCCTTGCTCTGGTGGTTGGGGTGGGTGGGGATGGGCACAGGCAGGACTGATGTCAAATCAGTTATGTCCTGCAGGTTCAGCTGCTGGTGCAGGCTGCAGCCTGACAAATAGGGAATGATAAGGCAAAGGTCTCGGGCTTTGTTAGAGTGGCAATAAGTGGTGACACTTTTTGTTGCAAGAGTTAATATAATCTTGAGGTTACTCTAGTTAGTCAGTGGATAGAGGTGTCCTGGTTCAAACCCAACTAGCAGCAAACACCACACACCCGCTCGCTCACCTTCCCTCCTCCCAGGGGTGGGGGTGAGAATTAAAGGGGTGAAGGGAAGAGAGACTTGGGGATTGAGGTAAGAACAATCTAATAACTAAACTGCAATAAATTTGAAAATAATAATTGTAATATTATACAAATGAGTGGCACACAGTGCAGCTGCTTACCACCCGATGGCCAAGGCCCAGCCCATTCCTGGCTAACGATCCTGGAGCAGGGAGAGTCCTGAAACTGTAATCCTGGAAAAGAGGAGAGCTTGAGAGTCCAAGAGAGAACTAACTTCTGGACAGACCCTCATCTCTATACTGGGCATGACGTGCATCATATGGAACATACCATTGGCCAATTTGGATCTCACCTAAACCTAAGGTTGAATCCTGAGCTAGTAATTGGGGCTGTGCTCCCTCCCAGCTTCTCCTGCCCCTGCAGACATGGGCACAGCAGAGAAGCTGGAAAGTCTTTGACTGTCCTGGCAGCAACCGTCAGCATCATTAGTGCTTCTTCTCAGCACAAATCCAAAACAGCCTCACACTAGCTGCTCTGAAGAAAGTTAACTCTGTCCCAGGCGAAGCCAGGGCGAGAGGTAAACCATACATTGCAGGTTCTCTCTGTGCAGGGCAAGTACCAAGACATGGCTATATTAAATTCTGAGCCTAAATGAGCTGTGCCAGAGGATGGTGGCTGCTTGTAAGTGCTCCTGGTGGACCTTGGGCTGAAGTGACACCTGAGCAGCAGCTGCTTCTAGTCTAGTGAAGGCTGGCCAAGGCTAGGAGAGCTGAGATAAGCTCGCAGCTTGTAAGAACTGCAGAGCTATACTGTAAGACTTTAAAATGTGTTAAATGAGCTAACAATTATTTTGCAGGTTCGTCAGCTTGAATCTCTACTCTGTGGTAAAGAAAAACCTTCACGACTCATCTGGACCTCCTCCAGCAATGCCAGGGAGTCTGCCTTCAGCCTCTCTGACTATCAGCATGCCAAGGGGCGGGAATCATACAGCTCCTCCAAATACGCTACTGACCTGACCAGTGTGGTTCTGAATAGGAAATTTAATAAGCAGGTGATGATGGGGTTTGTACGGCTGAAGAAACCTAATGACCTGCTGTTTACAGTTATCATTATGTTGTTGTTGCCTAGCTGCGTCCATTCATAGCACTCTGATATGTTCCTTAGCACACACATAAGAACTAAACACAGCCGAGGTTGAACCAGGGTGGTGGAGAATCTCCTTTTGGGGTTCTTGTCTGTGGGTTTTAGGTGAAAGCAGAAGCTCTTAGGAGTGATCCCTGCCTGCAAGCTCTAGCTGTCTATTTAGACCAAAAACTGGTCTTAAAGAGCAAAGAGCAGCTGCTGGTTTCAGGTGTGCCTGCCTGTCAGAACAGGGCTGGTCAGGAGCTTTGTCTGCAAGCACTCGAGGTGCCGGCTCTACTGTTGTCTCCCGGTGGCTCCATGCTGGTTCTCCAGCTTGTCACACTCAGATGTGAATGTGAGCATGACCAACCTGCTGTCCCTGTCATGGGGAATTGCTGGGTTTCAGTGACAAACTGCAGCCCTAGTCCAGTGATAGTGATCGCACTCTGATGAAATACTTCAGGAGAAAATAGTTCAGTCCTAGAAGGCTGAACTCTTATCTCTGAAAAGTGAGGTAGCCTTTGATCTGAGCGGGCTGTAATTTGTGGGGTGACTGTTGCTGCTGAGCTGCATGTGGACTGCAACGTGAGGCTGTGATGTGTCGGGAGGCTGTGTCTGCTGTCTCATGGGCTTGTGATGGGCACAGATTTAACACAAACATCTTCAGTTTGGGACCTCTTAGAAATTACTACGTCTGATCCCTCTCTGCTTCTGGTAACTTTAGAGAGGAAAGCATCAACTATTACCTGGTCTCTGTACTCACCTTCATTTTCTTGTTGAGAAGAACTTGCCAGGAAGGGCTATCATCCATTCTTAAGCTAATTATTGTCTCTGCAAACTGACTCGGTTTCTTCTCTGCAGGGTCTGTATTCCAGTGTTGTTTGTCCTGGTCTCGTTATGTCTAACATGACATACAGAATTCTGCCAGTTTTTCTGTGGAAGCTGCTAATGCCTGTCATGTGGTTGGTAAGTGGAACTCCTGGCTGGTTTGGGGGAGGTTTGGGTTGAGAGAGTTCTGCAGCGATGCTCTTCACTGCAAGCAATGTGCAGATGTGCAGCGTACCTCTGGCTCCTTGCTCCCCATGCTGCCATACAGCTTGTCCTTCTGTTGGACTAGGCAGGCTGGCCCCCTTGCAAACCATCCTTATCGCGTTTCTCCTGGCAGTGGAGAGGCAATGCCTCCTTGCTTGTCCCCAGCACTGGCAGCATTGCAGATCCACTCTGCCTCCTGCCTGCTGTGCTCTTGAGTCCGTTTGAGAAGAGGTCCCCTTGAGGTGCACATGTGGCCGGTTGGCTCTTGCTTTTGGGGTGAGCTCTGTGTGAGGCTTCCTGATCTGGTGGGTGGCTCCAGAGGACCAGCATTTGTAGTGATAAAGGCGTGCTTTAGTCAGAAGTGTTACCTGTAGTCAAGTTTGAGAAGCATTTCTACCCCCGGTGGATGGTTTGGTGTGGCTGGGCTGCAGAGAGCTTGCCAAGGAAACCTTGGGCCAACATACAAATTCTGTCCTGCACTTCTTTTCCCCTCAGATCCGCTTTTTTACCAAAACTTACACTCTGACGCCGTATAATGGAGCAGAAGCTCATGTAAGTAATTTGCACCTTGCTGTTAGTATCCCTTCCCTTTGGGTAGCTCATCCAGGGTCTGCTGGTTGGAACACAGAGCCTCTCAGCGTGGGTGGGTACTGGGGACCAGCTCTGACCAGGGCTGATCCCCCAGGTGATGCTTTACCATCTTCATCAGGTGCCCATAAAATAGATGATTTTTGGAAAAACCACTATTCCTTCTGTCCGGGTCAGCGAGAATGCTGCTCTCCCTGTTGGCGGGCAAGCAGCCACAGACACGCGGACACGGGATGGGGGATGCAAAGCATGGTGTGTGTTGGGCACGGTGTGCGTCAGGCATGGCAGTGAGCAAGTTTAGCCATGTTGAGCTACTTTAGTGGTTTAGCTCTGGGGCATAAGCATGGTTTACTGTTGGCTCAGGTAGGTCACAGGTGAGGGGAGCCAGCTCAGACCTTCTCTGGATATCAAGTCTACCTCTGCGTGGTGAGAGCACCCATGGTGTTCTGGGTCCGCTGGCAGTTGGGACCTTGGCTGTGGGCTTGGTTGGGACTGTGTGTGCTGGACTGTACATATGTGCTGCTCTTCCCAGGTGTGGCTGTTCAAGCAGAAACCGGAGTACCTGGATGCACTTGTCAAATACCACAGCTGCACGTCTGGACTGGGGAAGCGCTTCGTGGAGCCCAGGAAGGTAAATGGACCAGTGAGGGGTTTCCTGTGGAAGGGTGGGTGCCAAGGGCGTCCTGTGGCTGGGGTGGGAGCAAGATCCATGTTGGATGCTGAGTGCAAGGAGGGGCGTGGGGTTATTTGTGAGGTTTCCTGAAGTAACTCCTGACTGCCAGCCTCAGGCTGGAGTCTGGAAGGTGAGGGAGACAATGGTCAGACCAGGATGAGTGTGTGATGATGCTTTCCCAAAATATGTTCTGGCTTGTGCCCTGGTAGTAGATGCCTTTGGTTGCCTCTCTGTGGATGCAGGAATTCCGGAGATGCACCCTGCTGTCGCCAGAGCTGCCCTCTGTGTCTGTGCTGGCTGCCACCCAGGCAATGGTCTCATGGTACTGTTCTTCCTGTCTTCCAGATTGATGTGGATGAAGAAACTGCTGAGAAATTTTACCAAAAGCTGTTGGAACTGGAGAAGCAGACTATAGAGAAATACAGTGATCTCCTAGATTAAGTAAAGCCAGTCTCGGTGGGATAAGAGTCTTTTATTGGTAACGTGGGTTTTCTTCATTCTGGTGCTACCTGTGATGCCTGCTGTTCTGCAGGCACATGGCTTCAGACCCCATCTTCCTTCTCGACAGAAGGTGAACAGTTCTGAAAAAGGAAATGTGAAAACTGAAGAGAAATAAATAGTCTTTTTGGTATGGGATTTTTTCTGGCATAAAACTAGACACCTAGAGTAGGTGGAGACTGTCTCAACACAGTTGCAAAGCTGTGTCTTGCAAAAGCGTGACTGACCTGTGCACAGTTCAGGAACAGCCTCAAAACATGTGGCTTCAATCTGGCTTAGTGCAGGAAAGGCAACATTCTGGGGTGCTGCTCTGCGTCTTGGCTCTACAGGTCTTTCTAGATGGCTGGAGCGCATTCCCTGTGGCTGATCCTGCAACGTGTGAAGGCTCATCCTCAGCAGAGCTGCTCTTCATTTGTACACCAAAGCCAGGGCTGGCTTTCCAGATGTGCTCAACATAATTGAACCTCACTGGAAGTCAGGCTCTGCACAGCATCTGAAGGCAAGCTCCTGAGTTGCTGTCCCGAGAAGTGCCCCCCTTGGCTCACCTGCCAGGACAGGCACCTTGCTGTCCCCAGGGTGTGGGGCCAGATATGTTCTAACCACGACTGGCTGGAGAGACTGAAGCTGCTGGTGTTAACTTGGGCTCAGGGCTGGTCTGCTCTGTTTGTACCAAGAGTTGGAGGTTACCATGTAGTTTTATCTATTTAATTCTTTTTATATAAACTTACTGTACCACATATTCTTCCTGTTGTTTGTCTGGGGGGCTTCACCAGTACCTGGTGTACTTCAAAAGCTGCAACGAATAAATGTCTGTAATGGCCTTGTCCTTGCCACAGTGGTGTTTCTGCTCCGATAGCTGGCTGCTTTTGACCCGGGGGGCTGCAGGGGAGTGTGGTTTCTGTTCCTGGTGCAATAAGCCTGTGTGTACCTGGGAAGTGGGGGCTCTCTCCTCTCCTGCCCCAGAAGAGCTGTTAGCTGCCTCTTTGGGCTCAGTTCTCGTTCTGTCCAGTTAATGAGAGACATGAGTGACTTCTGAAGACTTCGGTGAGGTTTTGTGTCCTGAGCACCTGTGAGGTGTCTGAGACTATTTCCCAGCCTTAGGCACTTGGGTGATGAGGATGTCTGTCATCTCACCCACATGTGTCACCTAATAAGTGATTTAATGCTCCCTAGGAAGGGGGTGTGGGAGTACCTGGCGCTCCCCTGGGGCTGGCAGGGGCCAGGTGAGGTTGGGAGGGAGGGGTGCTGCTCAGCCCTGCACCCCCAGCTCTGGTGGAGACCCCCTGGGCTGGGGGTGCAGCTGCCCTGCCCAGGCTGGACCATCTTGCTGGTGTAGGGAACTGCAGAAGCACAGAACTGGCACTGGGGAGAACCCAGGCTCTGCAGAGGCTGCTCATGGAGCTGGCTTGTAGAGACAGATTGAAAGAACCTTGCTTTTGTTTTTTTCCTTCATTCTTCCCACCCCCAATTGTTTTTGAGTGTCTCTGCAAGGCAGAGAGGTACTGATAGTGAGGTGCTGTCTGCTGTAGAAACTGCTCAGGCTTGATTTTGGGCTGAGCAGCACCTCAGCTCAGCCCTCACGTGAATAGCTGAGTTGCCAGAGCTGGTGTGGATGGGAAGATGCTGGTTTTGCCTGGCTTTGGGACAGAGTGAGAAGCTGGCTGTTGTGGAGCCATGCTTCCTTTGGCCATGGCTGTTCAGAGTTGTGAAGCAGATGGGGGTGTGCTTAAGTGGAGCTTTATTTAAATACAGTGAAGTCTGCACCAGCACCAGATCTGAGTCCAGCTATGTCCTGAATGCCCCTGGGGCCAGAGCCCCCCCTTTCTGGTGCTGTTCCTTCTCCCCAAGGAAGGAGGTGGTGGCTGGCTGGCTCTTCAACTTGGTGTGCTGGATCCTCACAGCATCCTGCAGCAATATTGGGCTCTGTGTTCTGGAGAGTAATTAAGCATGTCTTCTTGGTTGGTTTTGGATGAGCATCTTGAACTTTGCTGTGCTTCTGCCCGGGGCCATAATGGGTATCATTCGCCCCCTCCACCTTTAGGATTCCCCACCTGCCCCAAAGCCAGAGGCACTCAGTCATTCCTAGTGCCTTGAAATGGAGATTTCCCCAAAGGGCAGAGGGTGGCTTGGTTGTTTGTGGCCCTCCGTTAACTTTTTCTGGTGAATCCAGCCCAAGAGATGCCATGCCTCCTGCTTTGGCTGCCCCCTGCCTACCCCAGCTCTGGAGCTGCTGGTCTTCAGGGAGGGATGGCTCCTCCTGCCCTGCCCTTGGCTAACAGATGCCCACGCACAGACCTTAATCCCCGAGCTAATCCCTTTCAGCAGCAGGCACATCCAGGCATGAAAGCAGCAATGGAGAAACAGCAACTGCATCAAGGAGAGCAGGCAGGGACGTGCATCTGTCAACCCCTTCACAACATGCTCCATCCCCTAATCTTCGTGCACTAAGGTAGCAGAGACCCCGCTGGTGCCATTGCATGAGTCAGGTGCCTCTGCTGATGTTGTGTATGTGGAGGGGCTGAGTCCTTTGTGCAATGCCAACGGGTCCTGCCCCGAGTATGGGGCCCGTGGCGGAGGTGGTGGGAATGCCAGGCGTGGGGCAGGGGAAGAGCCAGCAGCTGTGAGTCACTGCTGTGACAGGAGCTTTCTGTTTGCCATCGCTGGATATGGAGCTTTCCAGAGATACCCTGGGGCAGGTCTTGAGCGTCAAAACTCAGTGAGATTGCTCTATGATGTCCTGTGCAATCAGGCTGTGCTATCTAAAATCTAACCACTATGCCTTGGCTCAAGTCATGGGTTTCTCATCTCCATTGGCAAATGCATTGCCTTGCTCCAAGCACCACCCAAGTCCTCCAGTGCTTTCCAGCTCAGCTGGCTCCCAGCTGTGTAGGGCACCTGCAATGGGAGCGTGGGTGGGAGCTGCAGCCTGACTCACAGCCGAGGGAAGAGAAAGCTTGAGATTGGCATGGCAGGGCTGAAATCCTGCCAGTTGGGTGGCCGGTGCCTCCCCAGGAAGGGAAGGCAATGGGACCGAAGGAAACAACAAGGACCAGGGTGTGCCCCTGTAAACAGTGGATGTGATGCAGCCAGCTCGTGTCAAAACACCCAGGATTCACCTCTGAACAGCAGCTTTGATGTTGAAACTGCTTGGGTGAGCTGCCCAGAGGGGCTGGGGGCAGAGGAGAGATGCAGCTCTGAAGGGCTGGGTGAGAAATGGGGCGCAGAAACCCCTGTGGGAGTGTTGCAGGAGCATGACAGCTCTGTCTGGCAGGGAGAGAGCCAAGGGACCTGGATCTGGGTGGGTTTTGCTGAGAATGGGCAAATTGTAGAGCCCCAGGAAGGTTTTGGCTGGGAGGGAGCTATCATACCTCCAGCCAGCCCTGCTCTGAGCAGGGATGGCCTCACAGCTGGACCAGGCAGTTCAGGGAGAAGTCCAGGTGAGATCTGAAATCTCCAGGGATGAAGAGCCCACAGCCCCCCCGGGCAGTGTCTCGGGGGCTTTGCAGCTTCCCAGGGGAGAGTGAGGCTGAGCTGCTTGAAGGGCGAGGTGTTGGAGGCTTGGGACAGGCATGAGCCACATGGCCAAGGAAATGGGAAAGCCCAAAGAGAGCCACGGCTGCCTGCAGGGTCTAGGAGGCTTTTCAGTGCTGCTTTGAGAAACACAGAGCTGTGCTCAAAGGAGGAACCTCAGCGGGGAACTGGTGGATGAGTGCAGGAACAGCTTGTGAGAAAAATCAGAACGAGTAGTAAATCCTGTATCTAGTTTGTCAAGAGATGCTCCTGTGTAAGAGCAGGATTTGGTGAGGCTGCTGTACTGTCATATTGACACTTTCGGCACCAGTGCACAACGAGAGGTGCCTGGGAAGCCTGTCCTGCCAAAAACCCTCATGAGATAGGAGGATTTGTATCAAACCAAAGTGCTATCAGGGAAAATGAGGGGGCAGGCGGCTGAACGACCAGGGCCAGATGACATTCAACTTGAGGCAAAGCAGCTGATCACTGTGGATTCACTTCTCTCTTCAAACCGCCTCAAGCAGAGCAAATAGGAGGAGGAGAAGGCTGGACACCCAGCCCGGGGTCAAGCTGTGCAAGGTCTTGCTGCGAGGCAGCGCTGATGCTAAGCGCTTACACAAGATCCTTTTTGAAAGAGAAGCTACTAAAGACAAAGATGACCTCAGGGTGTGCTGTGGAGGCACAGCTCCGGTCTTGCAGCAGAAGCTTTGGCTGGTCCGGTTTGGTTCAGCGTGTGTCTGCCTATGGGAGTGGTGTCCCCAGGAGACCCTGCCTCTGCTCCTTGAACCGTGCTCTGCAGAGCGCAGGGACAGCGGGAGCACTGGGGGTCTGTCAGAGAGGAGGTGGCAGGGTGTTCAGGGACCCTCTGGGGCTGGCTGCATGGAGAGATCCCCTGTAACCCAACTTGGAGGGAGACCCCGTAACCCAACTTGGGTACCGCAGCGCTGAGACAGCCCCTAGTGCCAACCCCAGCTGAGCATCACAGACCCAACACAGTCCCACCAGCAGTGATCTCGGGGGTGGGGGATATAGCCAGTGTCTAAAAGTGTCTGTGTGGGACAGGGCTGAGGGGCCAGCCATACTTTTGTGCATCATAGTCAGCTCTGGAGACCCAGGCATACTTGCCCGCAGCTCAGGTGCTCCTGAGATTCACCTCTGAAGTAGCTCCGTGAGTCACTGTGGTGTGCACCTCTCTGGGAAGCTCAAGGCAGGTGCAGCAAGGTCTCATATCCTTGTCATCTGAATGGATGGTGGTTCATCCATGGTGAACCAGCAGAAGCCAGACTTGCTGAGATGGTTTCGGTAAGTCATTTCCAAACAGTGGCACGTGCAGGCTGCAGGGATGCTGCTCGGCACCTACCAGCCCCACAGAGCCTGGGGACACATCCTGCATGGCCTCCAAGGTACCAGCGGTTTATTGATGGCCTTACAATGGAGTAATGCCGCTCAGGAGCAGAGCAGATCCTCACACTACCTACCCATGCTCTGCCTGGCAGCAGCTGCCACGGCTGGGGGTCAGGAGAG